AAAATAAAAATTATTTCTTATTAAAATTATAAATTTTAATATAGAGAGAAAATTTCAATTTTCACTATGTTTTATTAATAAATTTAGCCTCTGAGTCATTACTTTTGGTCACCACTATATTTAAAATATCTTTTTTTTAAATAAAAAATAATTTTAGTTTTTTTAGTAAAATAATATTTTATTTATTATTAAATTAAAATAAAATAAAATAATTAAAATAATATAAAAAGTAAATTTAAATTATTTTTATTTAATATAAAAAATTATAATAGTTAATTAAAATTTAAATTATTTTATTAGAAATAATTATTAATTTTTATATTGATATATTAATCTTCTTGCAATAGTCTATATATAATATAAAAATATAATTTAATAAAGAAAAATAAAAAATAAAATAAAAATATAATATAATATAATATAATATTTATTTATATAATATAATAAAATAATAAAATATTAATAATAAAAATAAAAAATAAAAAATTTATTATAAAATATAAAAAATATTAATACAAGGAATATAATATAAATTAATTTTAAAAAAATTAATAAAAATTAAATAATTATATAATTATCTATATAATATAAAGTTATATTAATTTTTGAATTAATAATATTATAAAAATTATAAATTATATAAAAATTAGAAATATAAATTAGTTTATATTATGAAATAATTAATTTGAATAGATTTTTAAATATAACTTATTAAAAAATATTATAATTCAAATTATTTATTACTTTCTTATTTAATTTATATTATTTTATTAATTTTATTATATTAATTATACTAATTATTTTATATTATATTTATTTATAAAATTTTAATTATTATAAATATTCTTTTTATTTAATTTATTAATAAATTTTTTTATTATTTTTTTATTTTAACTTTTTATTAAAATATTATTACTTTATAAGTTAAGAATAAAAATTAATATTATATTAAAAATAATAAAATTATAAATATTATAATATTTATAAATTTAATTAAAAATAATTATTTTTATATAATAAACTTAATTATATTATAATTAATAATATATTATTATAATATTAAAAAATAACTAATAAAACTAATAAATTATTTCAAAATAATTTACAATGGCAATTAAAAATAATATAATGCTTAAATTTTTTATTAATTATAATTAGTAAAAAATTTAAGCATTGCATTATTTTTGATTGCTATTGTATATTAAACTTAAAATATTATTATTTATTAAGTTTAAAAGAATAATTAATTATAATTTTAAAAAATTATTAATTTAATAAAAATTTAATATTTAATTTTAAATTTTATAAAGTAAAATATTAATAAAAAAATTTTATTATAATAAAAACTTTTATTAAGAATATTATTTATTATTTAATTAATTATATTTTATTAAATACTAATTTAAAAAAATATTATTTATAAATATTTATAAAAGATTTTATAAGTATAAAAATTATAATAAAAATATTATAATAAAATTAAATAAAATTATAACTAAATTAATAATATTATTAAAATAAAATTAATATTATAATATTAATTAAACTAATATTTAAAATATAATAAAAATAATATAAATATTATAATTAAAATATTATTTATAAAACTTTTAAAATATATAAAAATAAGATATTTTAGTTAATAAAAAAGAATAAATTATTATTTAATTAGTAATTAGATATTAAGAAATATTTCTTATAAATAAATTTATAATATTTATTATTATATTAATAAATTATTTATTATATTTTTATTAAATTATATTCTTAAATTAAATTATTAGCTAGTTATATATTAAATATATTATTATTTATTTTAAATAATTTTTTAATAATCTTAATAAATTATAATTTATAATTAAAATATTATTATTAATATATTTTATCTTAAAATAAACTTTTTATTTTATTATTATTATAAATTAACTGTAATTATTTATATTATATTTGATATTAGTTCTTGAATAATTTTAAATATAGTCATATTTTCTTAAGTATATCTCTTTTAAAATCATAATAAAAAAATATAAAATATATATTTAGAAAAAGTATATATTTATAGAGATTAAAGTATATAAAGTTTTTATAAGTTAGAATTAGAATATATTATATATTTAAAAAAAAGTTATATAATATATATACTTAAAGAGAGTATATTTAAAAAGATATAATTATAATTTAAATAAAAATTTATTAGTAATTTAATTATATAAATATTTAAATAATATTTTTAAACTGATTTAGAAATTAATCTTGAATATATTTATATAATTATTATTATTATATAATAATTTAAGATAATATTAATAAAATAAATTTATATTAAAAAGATAATAATATAAATTTTTACTTAATAATTATTTTTATTTATCTTTTTTAATAAATTATATCTAATTAATACTATTTTTCTTATCTTAAAAGTATTAATAATTAAAAATTTTAACTTAAAATAAATTATATCTTGATTTATTTAATTAGATTTATAAACTTTTTTTATGATAAAAAATCTTTAATTTATTATTTAATATATATTCTTATATTTATTTTTATATATCTTTTACTTGAAAAATAATAAAAAAAGATTAAATTAATATATATAATAATTTTTGAATTATATTTTAGTTTTTGATATCCTTAATTTCATGATTATATTTTTTTTTATTTTTTAATATAATATTTATAAATATTAATATTAGAAAATTTTTAAAATAATTTTAATTTTATTTAACATTATAAATAATTCAGTCTATATTTTAACTCATTATTATAAGCTATATTTCAGATAAAATCTATCTATATAGAAATAGTTTATATATTAATAAAAAAAATTTTATCTAAAATATAAATTTCTATATTTTAAAGTCTATTTATTAATAAAAATTATTAATATTATATAAAACTTTATTATTAATAAATAAATATTATATAATAATATTTTTGAAAATATAAAAAAAATTTGTCTGGCAAACTTGCCTAGCAAGAATTACAAAATAAGAAAGAAAACATTATTCTTTCGTCTTCTCTAATAACATTAGAATGCGCTTTCGTACAGATTCAAATTGAAACTCTTTTCAACTGTTTATTATTAAATCATTCATTAAGAATGATTAATATAAAAAAATGCATTTTAAGTTATTCGGTTAACAATGGATATTATAATAAATATTTATACAGTATTGTTTATTGTACATTTTAACTTTTTTGTAATTTTCTGTGATTAATCACAAATTTGATTAATTAATTCTGTAATATTCTGTGATATTTTGATACTTTTTCTATAATTAGCTTTGATTCTGATATTCTGCATATTACATTACCGTCAATTCCTGTATTATTGTTATTGTTATTATTGTTTTAAGCGTAGGTAGATTAATAAAATACAAAAGATATAACCAGTCAACCAAAAGCATGTATATATAAAATGAAGTTACCATAATAGCATTAACAATATCATTCTTATTATTCTTGAGGGCTTTGATGGCTTTACTACGTGAGACGCCCTATTTATCATTATTGCAAAGAAACAAGCGATTAAACATGAATGTAATAATAAATGAAATTAGACAATCGACGCCTTAAAAAAAAGGAAATACACACAGCTTGACTCATAACCAGTTCGACATCTTTAGCTTCTACGCCCGTGTCGTCAACCTCCTCATCATCTTCTACATCCTCCACTTTTGGAGTTTCTTGAGCTGTAACGGAAGCCTCAGGAGTCTGGAATTGCTGAGCGGCATTAGCTTGCGCTTGAGAATTAAGATCCTCGATTTTCGCTTCTCCGAATACAATGTAACAGTCTGAGTTTGCGGATTTATACACATCCGGGTTAGAGATTACAAAAAGGATCTATTTTTATTAGGAAAAATACATTAATATGAAGAAATTATATATATCATTTTGATATTTCGCTATTCCCAAAAACTACAGGATCAACTAAAGCTTACATTTTTCGGTCGTCGGATAGTGACACGATTGATGCCAGGAACAATCTTCAACCCCAATTTCGACATTGCCTTTCGCGCCTTTTTCTCACTACGACTTTGCAACTTTGAAATGTCTGAAGGCACAGCACCCGAATTATTGACGCCTTCTTCCTCCAATTCTGGAATATCATCGTCCGAATCCTCTTCCGATTCCACGGTGGTGGCTACCTTATTGATATCATCGGCAAGGTGCAAGATTTTAGAGGTCGCGCTGGCGAGTTCCTCCACTTTTACCTCCTCGGTCGTAACTTTTACTTCCTCAGACGTAACAACCTTTACTTCCTCAGTTTTTTTGATCTCAACTGTTTTAACCTCCCCCTCAGATATTTCAACAATCTTTTCTTCCTCTATTTTTTTTGCCTCCCCCTCAGTTATTTCCACAATCTTTTGTTGCACTACTTCGGCGGCCATGCTGTAAGAGTAAAGATAGTGTGTTGGTTTATTTATTTTTCGCGAGTAAAAGCTAATAATTAGGAAACATTGTTATTTTGATTTTTTAACGTGATAAATTAATGACTTTATTATAAAGTGATATATAGACAAGCTTGTGTGATTCAAATTGCGCTTGGTATCAAAAGACAAACTGATAATGTTTCTTGTCAATCCTTCGAACGTTTGCCCTAAACAAGAAATAGCCTAAAAAGCAAAATTTCAAATTCCACTTTTTTCTTGATCCGTGGCACCCCGTTCAACCAAAATCATGCTCCAAAACGCCATCCATCCATCATAAAATGACGCGTCTCTTGACTTTTTTCGTCAATATAATGCTATCTACGCATCGATACTTACATTGTGTGATCGGCCTCTTATGATAAACGTCAAAGGGAAAGATGAGGAAGAATTTGGCTTTGTGAATTTTGACCTTGTGAATTTTTCTTCGCTTTTACCCGATGAATCGATCGATCAATCGATCAATCATTTCGGCCAATGAGAATTTGTGTTACCTCGTGACGATACAACGATATATCATGCTCTTTAATAGCTCTTCAATAATGTTCTAGTTATATTTAAAATGTCTTCCGCCGAAGAGCCCTTGCATGTAGTTATTCGCCTTCCTTATAAAAGGCCACCTGGCTTTGTTGAACCACCTTCAGTAAGACATTGAATATTCCTTGGAAATTTGAGGTTTTCACTTTATAAAATGCAATCATTAACCCAAAAAATCACTTTGAAGATAATATGGACTGAAACAATGGAACAACAGCTATGGGAGATTCTAACACAAAACAAGCGCCAGAGCATTGATTGTTAGTGAGTTAACTGTAGATTGCTGTTTTTCGTGAGATATCCCTCGACGAAAGAAGAGAGGAGTCAGGTGGTTTATTTGAACTCGTTAATCACGAGGTGCTCATTTCTCTTTGCCGTCCCTTTATGGAATTAATATTATTTGCAACAGGGAATTTGGCCTCGCGACTACTAAATGTTCCAATTCCATATCTCTTAAGACACGCAGCTTTCCTATATGAGACCCAATTGCGTGGTGTGCAAGCTCAATTGCGACGTGGCGAAGTACTCAGTGCCAGTAATAGCAGTAACAACTTAACAGCCCTTGGAACTACCACAACACGCACTAGGGCATCAAGTCGTGCATCATCAAACAAAATTCCTGCAATGGAAAATAATGAACCATTGACTCGAACTAGAGCCTCGAGTAGAGCATCATTAAATAAAGTTACGGTGGATCCTAATGATCCGATAACTCGGCCAAGAGCTTCGAGCCGAGCTTCTTTAACTAAGGGATCAATATTTGACTTGAAAGAAGGTGGGAACCTTTCTGTTTGTTTAATACATAATTTGAATCTGATTTTTTTAACTCGATTTATATTTGAATAGTTCCTGCTACTCGATCGAGATCACCATCGATTAGAGAGCAGGCTCCTATCAATTATCGTGGTAGCCCTGCTGCAAATCAAGATACTTTAAAAATGGGAGGTATGGACGGAAAGAGTTTGAATAATGGCTCGTCTCCCTTTTTTTTGGGGTAACACACCTCGGTCCGTCAAATGCAGAACCTGCATTTGTATACCAAGGTCTGTTAAAATAATTAGTTTAATCTTAAAATGTATTGAAATTATTATAATTTCCAGGAAGAAATGATACATTTGGCAGCGAAGCAAGATCAAGCCCAATTTCACATACATCTCCCTCCCCACAGACCAATTCGCCATCTTTCGCAAGGCGATCAGTGTCTAACGCGTCATCTGTTTCTACAATTACTCCAATCGATCAGATTACATCAAATCTTAGACCCCTAATAAACGCGCAAGGATCTTTTGTTAGCACGCTTTCAACCATTGAATCCGAGTCTGCTACGACACCTTCGTTCGAGACACCTATCGATCTATATCCGGAAAACAAATCACCTTCTATTGAAGATGATGACGATGATGGAGATGGTAATGAAATCAACACAAGCATAAATTTGCTTGATTCCAGTCCAGATGATAACGAAGCTGATGAGGATTACCAGGAATCAAAAAGCACCATATTTGAAAATAATCTTGCTACATCATTTACGGATAAACTAAAAAGATTACAAGGTGTTGCAGCATTCCTGCCACTTGTGCGTAATAACAGTAGTAGTGGTAGTGGTGGATCTACCGCTACCACCAACTCGACGGATAAAAAAGGTCAGTCGTCAACAACAACGACGAATATCAACATAGATACTCAACATCAAAACATCAGAGATCCAACAATTATTAATACTACAAATGTGACTACTACACCCCCAAGGACCGATGATGGTAAGAAGAGCAACATCATGTCAATTATCATCCTGGTCTTACATTAATTTTAGGTATATTCAATATTTTAGCAAACAACAATTCAACAGTTGGCAAATCTCCGTTAACTCCTGCTCCGGAGAGTACTTCCAATTCAACGGGATCTTCCTTTAGTGAGCTGTCAGGTATCAACAAAGTTCATTATTCTTTAAGGATTACGGGTCTCTTTTTAATTGTGGTAAAATAATTTATTTTTTTTTTTTATTAATAAAAGATTCTTCTGTGACTCGCTCAGCGTTGGAGGATGCAATCATGTCTTCTAATCTTGGAGTCTCAAAAATGTAAGTCTATGTAATCTATATCAATGAATACTCGATTCGGTAAGAAAAAAACTAATTCTTATCGGGATATTTTCAAAGGTCCATGTTTTCACGAAAAAGCTCATATTTTCCTGGTTCTTGATAAATTTTTGAAGATCTACTTGAACTATATTCTTTAATAGTAATGCACGCCCACCACAATCATACCCAAATCATATTATCTAATACTGGCCTAGCACTATATATGTTATCTAATAAAACTTATAATATGTTAATCCACAATCTTTTTGCTGCATGTACCTAGATTACCTAGATGTGTCATGGCGTAGATGTGCACATTATCCTTGGCACTAAAATGCATAACGTTGATATTTAACACTTGTTATTTCGGAGTTTCGCGAATTGTTCAAACCATCGCACATATTCATAATCGGATTGAATTGCACAGTGCAAGTGCGTGCGCACTCTCGGGCATTTATTTCATGTTTCTCCCAGATGATATACGGTATCGCAACATATCGATATAACATAGGATTTTCAAATGTTTCCCCTTCTTTCCAAATATGGTACTCAAAATTTTCGATCAACCAATTAAAAATCATCTTCCTAAAATTCGGCTAAGTAAGGGATGATGTGTTGTTGGTTGGATTGAATTTCAAAAGATGCAAACCACTCGTTGGTCAAAAGAGGAAAAGAAGGGTTGTGTTTGTTGTTGCTCTTCCCCTTTCCGTCATTGCATGCATTGATTGTACCCAAATAATCAATTAAAAACACATTATTATGAAAGATAATAATAAATTATCGTCGTGCAGCTAAACAAATCTGAAATAAATGTAAGCCAATCAGTTCATTTTATCTTGTAATGCTGGATAACTAAAATTTGGCTAGTAACTTTTTTTACACGCGTCTCCTATGTGACAATGGATTACAAAACAATGAATGAAAATTTTGCTTAGATGTCTTAGAGATAATTGGGAATATTTCTTGATATAACGATAATGATAAAGTGAGAAAAAAATCCGGTTGAAACATGTACGTTTTAGACAGACATTCATTCTTTTCCTTAATATCTCTCTTCTCCTCGCGTAGCCATCCACACCACACTCACACAAAATATGTACCCTTTTTTAATTCGTCCCATAAGACGCGCCAATGCAAGGCAAACTCTCACTTAAATCATGCAAAATGAATACTATAATTTATGTGATGTAACCAGAATCGCGTATCATGGGATGTAGTATCACATCACTAGTTGATTCCAATCAACACATAAAGCGTTGGTCGTAATTTTTTTCTACAAATCTTTCTTACTCTTCCTCGTTCTCCTCAACCGACTGCTTTCTCATCTCATCAACACTCAAACACTAATACTAACCATACTAATTACCACTGTTCAATACTATTACTGCTAGTCGTATACACGTAAAAAGTGCGTAACTACTACAAGTAACTTTTTCTCTGTTTTTTTTTCTCTTTTTTGCGGTAAAAAGCGTGTTTGTCTGTTTTGTTTTCGTGTCTTTGAGATGAAACACAAAGAATGTTGTCATTTTGTCAAGAGTCATCACTGTTGTCGCGCGTCATCACGACGCTAAAATAATACTGCAGTGTTCTATCGCGTCTTTTTTTTGCTCTCTCTTTATCCTACATTTTTACCTCTCTTCTATGCATTTTTATTACGCGCGTATTATATTCACGGTCCTTCACTCATACGCTCCAAACCTCCATTTGGACCGTCTTTTATTTTCACCAAAAATAACAAATAATAGAGATTGAGATACAATTTGCCACTACGTTAAATTTTTAATATCGTAACTATAAAATAATAGTGGTCATGAGAGAAATCGTACACTTACAAACTGGTCAGTGCGGTAACCAAATCGGTGCTAAATTCTGGGAAGTTATCTCGGAAGAGCACGGTATCGACCACTCGGGTGCTTATCAAGGTGATGCTGACCTTCAGCTAGAAAGGATATCGGTTTACTATAACGAAGCGAACGGGGGCAAATATGTTCCACGTGCGGTTCTCGTAGATCTCGAACCTGGTACTATGGACTCTGTTCGTGCTGGTCCTTTCGGTGCACTTTTCCGACCTGATAACTTTGTGTTTGGTCAAAGCGGGGCTGGTAACAACTGGGCCAAAGGTCATTATACAGAAGGTGCCGAACTCGTCGACTCTGTGTTGGACGTCGTTCGTAAAGAAGCCGAAAACTGTGACAGTTTACAAGGTTTCCAAATTACACACTCCTTGGGTGGTGGAACTGGTGCCGGTATGGGAACTCTGCTCATCTCTAAAATCCGTGAAGAATATCCCGACCGTATGATGTGCACATTTTCCGTTGTACCATCACCGAAGGTATTTTTTTGGTTACACATTATTTGATGTCTATCCTTTTTTTCCCAAATTATGAACCAACTCTTATCTTTGTGATAAATGGTCTTGATAATTAATAGGTGTCAGATACAGTCGTTGAACCATACAATGCCACCCTTTCAGTCCATCAGTTAGTTGAAAATTCTGATGAGACATTCTGTATCGACAACGAAGCTTTATACGATATCTGCTTCCGCACATTGAAATTGCAAACACCAACATACGGTGATTTAAATCATCTTGTGTCTGCCGTCATGAGCGGAATCACAACATGTTTACGTTTCCCTGGTCAATTGAATGCTGATTTGAGAAAATTAGCCGTGAATATGGGTAAGCGATAAATTTACCATCTATACACTAAACAGTAGAAAACAAAATAGCATCAATTAATTCATAAATATCATTCATAGTTCCCTTCCCACGTCTGCATTTCTTCATGGTTGGTTTCGCTCCATTGACTGCACGAGGATCCCAAGGATATCGAGCTCTAAGTGTTCCAGAATTAACACAACAAATGTTTGATGCCAAGAATATGATGGCTGCCTCAGATCCTCGTCATGGTCGTTATCTCACTGTTGCAGCTATGTTCCGTGGACGATGCTCGATGAAGGAAGTCGACGACCAAATGTTGTCGGTCCAAACCAAAAATAGCTCATACTTCGTTGAATGGATTCCAAACAATGTTAAAAGTACGTGTCTCGACTTTTGTTTCGATTACTTGTCAATGTTAAAATTTAACTGTATACTAATCGGGAATTATGTGTCTTGCAGCTGCTGTTTGTGATATTCCACCGAAAGGCCTCAAAATGTCGGTCACCTTCATTGGCAATTCAACTTCCATCCAAGAATTGTTCAAACGTATCAGTGATCAATTCACTGCTATGTTCCGGCGTAAGGCTTTCTTGCATTGGTATACTGGAGAAGGTATGGACGAAATGGAGTTCACTGAAGCTGAATCAAACATGAACGATTTGGTATCTGAGTAAGTATTTTTTTTTATTTACTCCAATTTTCATAATCAAAAATAAAAAAAATTTAATCGATTGCAAATTTCTGTCATTTTCTAGATATCAACAATATCAAGAAGCGACCGCCGAAGAAGAAGAAGGCGAATACGAAGAAGATTTGGAACAAGACGCAGAATAAATCATTATACCTTTCAAATTGCATATCCCTCAAAACACGCATAATTACCACATTTAATCATATACAGTAATGCACAATTGTTATTCTTTATCATATAGATTTTATTATAAAACTTCAACTATAATATCATCAAAACAACCCTTTTTTTCCGTTTTCAAAAAGTCATAATATTCAACAAGCATGTCAAGAAGGAAAACACAAAACTTGGACAATAGTAATTTCTTATCAGCGGGTTGTGTGAGCTTTTACCATCATCATTATAATAATACAACAAACTAAAACAAGGAATGCTTGTATATCATTACCATGTATCCCTTGGCAAAATTATTTATTCGAATATTTGTCAACTTAAAAAAAATTTGAATCTTTTATATCAATGAAACTATTATTATGACTAAATACGATGATGGAGTGTTCTATTGCGCGTAAGGTTGATGCACGTGACCAACTCTTCATTCATAATTCATATTAATTTTTACATAATTGGTGTTCCAAAAAATTTTGTTATAATTCCCAAAGGGCTAATGTCCGATTATGAATGAATTTAAATATTGTATGATGTATTTTTGCATTTTCACTTCTCTCGAAATTCCGTTATCATTAGAATCAAATACCCCCAAACTAAATTTAATTTTCGACCCAAAACTGATTATATCGTTATCTGTTGGACTGCGTGCTATTGTTGTATTTTCAACTGCGAAAGTTTAGAAATAGTAATTTTTTTTCCTACTCTTCTTCAAGATACTAGCCATAGCAAACAACAATGACCTCGCCGCCAGAAATCGCGAAAGAAAGAGAGAGAGAGCGAACGGCTTATCAAAAGCTCGAAAGCAGAACACAAGAGAAGCTTCAAAAACTTCAAGGTCTTATACCCAAAGAACCAATAGCTTTTCCAGATCGCGCGAGAGGAAATAATAATATTTAGTCCGAATGAAATAACGCCAGTCTGAGTTTGAAAATTAATGGGGGCTACATACTTAGATTCGATTTTTTATATTTATGTGAAAGGATCAACCAATCCAAATATATGTGACGACATCCAATTGTGTATCTCTATTTATTTCGCTTCTATATTGAATTGAGACATGCTGCGCTGTTAAAAAATACAAAATAATTAATCATATCCGGATCCAGCCGATTTCGTTTGGCAGTTACATGATTTCCAGCGTTAGCTCATTAGGTACAGATGAGGCAGGTAACGTTAAGTACTTTCTGGCAAGTTTTGCCAATTTAGAAATTTTGATTTATTCACATTCCACTATAAAGGATTTTTTTTTCGGTTGGAACTTCCTGTGATAACGATCAAAATTCATTCAGTTCCTCTTTATTAAATAATATCATTTCTGAAGATTCATTGTCTGATTCATTGTTGAAAGAGGAAGAGTACAGAAAGAATACTGATATTTTCGATCACATGGTTTAAATAAGCTTAATTAAATATTAAGAATTTCGGCCGCCCTTTGCATATTTAAGCTTTGCTTTTGTATATAATGAATATCTTGCAAATGTCCTACCATATTACTTTTGAACCAAGTCAGACATAATTGGTCGTGCATTCATTAAATCGACGCTTAATAGTAGGTTCACCATCATTTCCTGGATTCAAATAACAACAAAACAATACTGATTTGCTTTGTATTAAATTCAATATTAAGTTCATTATTTGAATTGGAAGCTCGAAGTCGGTTTAAAGGTTAATTTTAGACATTTAGGAAAAAGAAGTGAATGAAAAAAATTCTGTTTTAAAAATACTTATGATATTTCATTATCGTCCCAGCTCAATAACCTTACGTCTTATTCATTAAATCTGAAAAAGCCTCAACAAAATGTATAAATATAAACCCCATGTTACAGGTAGTTATTTATAACTAACGATTATGGGTAACGGGAGTAAAATACTGCGCTGTGATCCAATTTAGAACTTCCCGAAGATGAATTGGGACCATTAATCGCCATAAAAAAGAGAAAACTTCATAACCCTCCCCGCAGCACGTACATTTTCTTCTACCTGTTGAAAGACACGTTTGAAAGCAATAGAAATAAAACAAAAGAAAAATAAAAAGCCTTTTTGCATTAAAGCAAAAAGAAGATTGAATATACGAATCCATAATTTTTAACGATTGAAAAAAAAGAACAGACGCTTAAACTCAAAACGTCGAAATTTTCAAATTAGGGGAATCTTTAAAAGAACGATGTCCCAATCGCATGGAATGCAAAAAATCAACGATATCGAGATGTCGTTCGTTCGAAATTTCGTTCGTCGTGCTTATGAATTATCGGGATGTTGAACGTCACCAGTGTAAACTCACCTATGTAATTAAACGATTTTGAAGCGTGTAAAAAAGAAACAAAAAAAGCTTTTTCCGAACCACAAATTTCATTAAACGAGATTCAAGATGGTATATTGACGCAAAAAAGCCTTAAATTTTTGGATCGGTGGAAAGTTGAAAGGTGTAACATGTTTCGATTTTTTCTTCTTTTTATTAAACACCATTAGGCATGAGAGAATACTTGCTGAAATTCGTAGTGGATGCCTACTACAATAAAATAAATTAAAAAAACTGTAATAAATCGCTTTAACAATGATTTGTTGAATATATCGAGGAAATGGAAAATCAGTTGGGGCTTTTATGCATTTTTCTTTTTTTAACCTGGATGCGAACCGGCTTGTACGATACCCGCGGACAGGTAAAGCCCCAGCAATTCGAAGAATCACCCTCCGGCAGCTCCAAGCGACTTTTTTTAGTTTTTTTTTTTTTCTTTTTTTTTCTTTTTTTTTTATGCATTCCTCCTCATCATGCATATTACTTGCTACGAAGAAATAATAACAAAAAAAAATACTTATCCATGGGGTTATGGTATAGGGTGTGTAGTATAGGGAGGGTATAGGGATAAGAAATATCTATATTAAATCTAACGTAACGAAAATATCTTTAAAACTAACAAGTATATCTATATTAAAAACAAGGAAAAAAAGTAAGGAGAATGAGGGAGAGTATGTTTAAAAGTGTATTTAAAAGAAAGGAAAAGTAAAAATATCTATATCGATAATAAGGAAAAAAGTAAGGAGAATGAGGGAGTATGTTTAAAAGTGTTATTTGAAAGAAAGGAAAAGTAAAAGGGAATAAAGAAAACGATTGCGCTTGATCTTTATAACAAAATCTATGATCTATTTTGTCGCGTTTGTTTTGATGTTTATCAGTTTATCAGTCCATGATGTTTATCAGCCCACCGCCATATCAATATATCGCGACCTGGGATTTAGATTTGTTGTTTTTCCCACAGTATTAACAGTATTACTAATAATCATTATTAATGGTGCGAAAACATGGGTAAAATGCACCATTTTTAGTATTGTTTTACTCATGTGGGATATCGTCAGGGATCTGGGACATAGACTCCGTTCACACGAAATTGTTGATCAACGAAATATGACAGAATAGATCCTTTACTTTTCCACGGTCATATTTTACGTAACAGCTAAACATCAAGCAACTTTATTATCGTTATGCTAATATTGAGAAAGAATATAAGAATATATATACTGAATAATTATAAATTTTAATAAATTTTATATAATGCTAAAATGTTTGAAGTGGCGAAAATCTAATTAGTCATAAATGACGCTAGCAGAAAGTTTCGGTAACTTCTTTCACCGACTGTTGCTTTAACTTATCATCAACTAAGACCTTTACCGTATAAGATTTTTTTATGCTGTTCATAGCCTTTGCCACACAGCCCGAAAGAGGAACATCTATAGACTCGTACTGTCAGCATTGGTAATATTATGTTACAGGAGAATAAATGATTCAGATTTTGTCATATCGACCTATAGCTAAGTTCGACGTTGCCGAATCTTGCTGATCAACACTTCGATAAGTTTTTTATCACATTGAAATTCTTTGCTATATTGCTAAGGTGGATTCTTCGGGTCTACCCTGACACTCAACATCCCAAAAATCCAACATTTCGACAATCCAACTTCCCGAGAGCCTAACATCCCGACATACCCAACTTCCCACCAAGCTCAATTTCCAGACATAAACCAGAAATTGAACTAGTTTTTTCGGGATGTTAGATTGTCTTGAAGTTGGATTATCGGGAAGATGGGTGTCGGGATGTTGGGTGGGACACGGATTCTTCACAGCGGTAAATCTTTTTCGCCTTGATCTAATCCCAAGACTATCAAATATCAAATCCAAGAACAAAAAATACATAAAATATTTTCCTTTAGTTTTTGATCCAACCTGTTATTATTAGATAGAAAGAACGAATCAAGGGGACAAAAATTGTGCCCCGATTGAAAAACTACGAATGCTATAAATTCATGACTCACTTCTAATCCGAAATAACGGTTCATATAGATCAAATTCCTTTATATCTCGATGAACTTGTTAAATTATTTCCATCGCTATCACTTTTGACGTAAAAGAAATGAACAAAAATAGTCATTTCACAATATTTACTTTATCGAAATCAAAGTTTATTTTATGTATATTCTTTATAGAGATGCAACCACCACAATATAGCAATGATTCCATCCC